AGGAATGCAAAGAAAGACACACAGAAGCTCACTGAGACCTGTAGCAACCTCTACTCTACTTGCTAGTGGTGTATGAAAGCCAGGTCATGGGGAAAAGGAGGTTGCAACCATGTGGGATGCTGGCCTCCTCACCTTCATTCAGTTTTTGGAAGATGGGGAGCACGCAAGGCAGGCAATGGCAAGGAGACCACAAAGGACGCTTCGTGGTCTGGCAGCTCAGCGTCACTTTGAAAGATTAGATCTTGTTTATGCCTCTGCCATAAACCTCCTGAACAATAAGAGCAAAGTAACATATATCAAAATTTTCCCAGATATTTATTGTTGTGCCTTTTCTGACTAACTAAAGACACAGAAAGACCGTGTCCAGAAGAGACAAGAACTAGCACTCATGGACTGAGATTCTCTGTTCAGTTTCTAATTGAGACTTGTACTATAGGCGTGTACAGCGCTACAAAACATGAAATGTTTGAAAAAAACAGCCCTTGTAAGTCTCCGTTTTGGCACCTGAAAGTAGTAGATGCCTCTGCTACCTCTGCATCTGAAAATCATCATTAGAGATACACTCATTACTGTCTCTGAAGCAGTTGGATGTGACAGCAAAAGCAGCACAGAACTGGAGATTAACCTTCTTGGGTAGCTTATTCAGTGAAATGTTCAGATGATGCACACTAAATAAAACCAATTTTTTTTGACTGATGTGAAAAAAACAGAAAGATTAACTAACTATCTTCTCAACAAGTGCCATATACCAGGCATGTTGAGTGACACCGTTTCCTCTCGAAGCGACAGCAGGTGAACACACAACCAAAGCCTCTGCCATATTGATTTTGTGCACTTCCTCCCTCCCCTTTTTCAGAAAACAAGCCAGGAACAGGCAGACATTTCACAGCACAGATTGGTGCAATTCGTGCTAATGGCCTAAGCATAGTTACAAGCAGCAGCTCACTTCTCTTCATGTGGAACAGTCAACGGGGACAAATTCTGGTAGGACAGCTGCTACCACGGCATACCTTGCCCCAGCCCAGCAAAACCTCCTCCAACACACGGCTTTGTGACAAGCAGGGCAAGAACTAAGAGCACAGAAGAGTCGGTGCTGTCTTCCAATGGTGTGCAAAAACCAGGGGCAAGCAAGCGTGGGAAAAGGTTGCAGTCTGCTGACCACGTGCAAGCTGTCGGTCTTCCAAAATGTAGTCGAATGCTGTTCCACATAGCAAAACCACAAATGCCCAAATCCCCTGGCACTCCTCTGACAAGGCAAGTCGCTTCTTTGGAGTCCTCAGGCACCACAGAGACAGCAAGGACACAGATTTCTTTTATAAATAGGAACAAAACCATCGTGAAGTTGTTCTCATTCTTCCCAAATGCCTTCCAACTAGACTCCTCTGAAGCAGCTCCATGGCTTTAGCCGGGAACACCCGCAAAAAGATGTTTTGACAGAAGCAGAGACCTAGCTTGAGAAACCAGAGCCAAACTGGTACAACTCAAGGAAGATTGTAAGCAGCAGTATTATAATGCTTTTTGAGTTTAAAATATTCAGCAAGGTCAACACAGAGCACACAGTTATCTCCAGGCCTGTATACGCCCTGAGCTATATGCACCAACAGCACCATGCCAAAGGCAGGCACCTCGCTCGCGCCGGGTCTCTGCAGCAGAGCCACCCGAACCAGCAAAAGGTGGAGAGGACACTTAATGACGATGCCATTGCCCTGAACAGCGGCACGCCTCATCCCCTCTCCTCGAGCCAAGATGAAAAGCCGTACATCGCCATCGCAAAGAGCACTTGCCCCGCTATTCAATGCACGCCACTGCCAGAGCCATGTGCAGGCACCGTTGCACGTAAGGGGAAAGCACAGGACCGATGCTATGCAGACCACAAAGAATATGTTTTCTGGCACACACCAGGCCAACCCACCCAGCAGAGGCTGGGGATAGCTGGGCAGTCTGAAGGGTTCCATGCCAAAGCCAGACCTGCTACCAAGAAGACCCAGTGGCTGAGGTGGCCAGAGCATGCAGGGGGAGGCCTCCCTGCGGCGGCAGCGGTGATGAACGGACACGGATAATGGCCTTTAGTGCCTGAAATGAAGCACAAGGAGATGGTGTGGGAAGGACTAACGCCAAGCGGTAATAAAGACAGAGCCAGGGCTGTTGCTCAAATGAGGATATTTTTTTGTGCCTAGGTTACTTGTTGTAAAAAAAAAAAGTTTCCACGTGCAGGGACATCCTGTTCACTGTATTAAATTAAAAGGATGATTCAAGAGGGAACAGCTTTCAGTAGGCATGGGGGGCTGGAAATCAATTTCAGGTTGCTACGGACAACTGGGCTGTCTCCTGTAAAACTAAATCTGATTCAGCTCTACAAACCTGAACACTAAACGTTCCCTGAAATACAACACACACATGCTCTCTAAATAAATAAATACAATAAAATAGTCTTGTGTCATCTGCCGGCTTTTTTTTTTTTTGCTGAACTAAGGACATGCTCAAACCTGCTAATTACTGCAAAATACAGGACTGGAGTTTTGGCTCAGCAGTGGCTTTCTGACTGCCAGTTCAACACCGACTGCTGCCTTACAGGGGACAAGATATTTAATGGCAAGGTGGCATTTGGCAAAACGAACCAGAGCAGCACCCATATTCACCTCGCTCTGGGCCCTTTTGTGTGCTCTGGGCTTGCAGTGGGATCTAACCCAATGTTCTGCTGATCCAGGCTCCTGCAGAGCTCAGCTACCAAGGGCCAGAGAAAGCTCAGCTTGGGGCTTTCAAACCATGTCCTAGCTGATACTGGGTGGAGGCAGTTTAGCTTGCCCATGGTCCTTCAATAGCTGCAATAGAAACAACACCCTCCACCTGAGCAGCTGACCTGTGGCCACAGCAGATGGGTAGGA